ACTGGCCCAGGGCAGGTCCAGAAATGGCATCCAAGAGCCAAGACATGGAATCGTGGACTCTTTAAGAGCCCACCTAGTGCTCTACACTCCTGTGGCTGAGCTGTTACCTAAGATACAAGGTGAAGTCCCCTTTATTTTTTCCTCAGCTTTTCTCAAGCAAAAGGACTCTGTCACCATAGCCATCATAGCTGGGAATGTCTTGGGTCTCACCTGAAGCCAGCATGTTTCAGAGGCTAACCCAAGGCCCATAGCATAGTACCTGGTTATTGCTGTTAGTTATTTAGGGCCCCAGGGCTCCTTAGTCAGCAAGTGATGGGTATACCAGGATTAGATCCCTCTACTTAAAGACAGCAGGTTACCCCTTCTGTCCCAGGGTGTTTCTAGAAATGTCTGGGAGCTAGAGCCTGGAATGATTCTGACTAGTGCCCTATCCTTCTATGGCTGAGCTGGTATCCAAGATGTAAAACAAAATTCTCTTTACTCTTTCCCCTCCCTCCCCCTCTCCTCCTTCCCCTCCCCTTCCCCTCCCCTCTCCCCTCCCTTCCCCTCCCCTCCCCCCTCCCCTCCCCCTCCCCCTTTCCCTCCTCTAGCAGAAGGAACAGGTCTCTTGAAGTTGCAATCTGTGCTGCCTTTCAAGTTTATTAAGAGCCCCAGAGCAGTTTGGCTCACAGTGCAAGGCCTGCTAGAACTCACGTCCTCACCACTAGAATAGGTAATTCCCCTCTGTCTAGGGCTAGTCTAAATGCTTCCTCCATGGTCATGTATCAGCTGAGTTCAGCCTAGTTTTGCTTTCCGCTGTGAAAGGGTAGCAGTGAGTTCAATGCAACATCTCACAGTCGCTGCTCTCACCCTCTCCCAAGCATACAGATTCTCTGTGCCATACAGCTACTGCTGGGGGATGAGGGAGGGGTAGTACTGGCAATTCAAGACCATCTTTTCTACCTTCTTCATTGCCTCTTTCAGTGATATAAAGTTAAAGCCAGGTACTATGAGTGCTCACCTGATTTTTGGTTCTTAAGAAGGTGCTTTTTTGTGTGTAAATAGTTGTTAAATTTGGTGTTCCTACAGGAGGAATGATTGATGGTGGCTTCTATCTGGCCATCTTGCTCCACTCCTCTATTTTTTTTTTTTTTTTTTTTTTTAAGAAATGATCTCACTATGTTGTCCAGCCTGGCCTTCATAGTTATTACTGACCATTTGTATTTATTATTTTGTGAGTTCAGGATAATCTTTCATAAACATCACTTTCATTGTTTTACTTTTCTTTTCAAAATCCAGAGTATCATTATTTCATACCCCTGGTTTTTAAGACACTTCATAATTTGACCCTAACCTATTTTTCTAACTTAATATTGTCCAGCAAGAGTCACTCTACTCCCATAAGAACTATTTTCTTATTTATATAACTCATTCTGTTACTTTTTTTTTTTTCTTGGATTCATTTAGCAATGTTTTCTTCTGCCTACCCAAAATCTTACAAGGATTCTTTTAACTCATCTTGTAATAAAGTTGTAATAAAGTAGCTCAGATCATCTAGCGTTTATCAGTTTCTTCTTATTCCCACAGTAACTGTTGTTTTTACCACGAGGTTTAGTAGCAAATTATAGACTGCCTTGTATTTTTATCAAGCACCAGCTGTGTGCCAGGAAACAGTACAGTCTGTATAGCTGTGGACTGAGCACAGTCTTTGTCCTTAAGTTTATAGTAATGATGTGTTTCCCAGTTATTTGCTTATTAGTGAAGTTGAACTTCTTTTCATATACCTCTATATGTATGAACCATACACACATTTTTAGGAATATAGTTTATGGGTTCCCTACTGGATTGTAAGATTGTTGAAAGCGTGAACCATGTTTTATACTTTTCTATTCCTTAAAATACATAACTCAGTTCTGAGCATGTAGCCATTACAAAGTATGTACGTGCTCTACTTCAGTAGTAAGAAAAGTTGGAGGCTATGGAGACGCATACCTGGCCTCATATTATATAACTTAACATATTATAAACCAATTGTGCAGTGTTTGCCAAGTCATGTAACTACTCTGATTGTACGTCCTCATAAAGTAAATATCTGCTTCACAAGGTTGTCATGTGGGTTAAATGAGATTTATATATAAAGCATTTGGCATAATGCCTGGTACAAAGTAAATGCTCATTAAAAGATACCTGTTATAATAATTTGTTTAACCTCTCAAACTAGAAACTGATTCAGCAACCTTTTATTTCCCTAATGCCTTTCATTTAAGCATTTACCAAATTCTTCTCAGTTTACTTTAATTATGTTGTCAATTTAGCCTCTCCTTTTAATCCCTGTTGTAGCCTACAATAAGAAATACATTTTATATTGTGGCTTAGTTTATTTGTACATATCTGAAACAAAAGTATTATGAAATCATATTCATTGTTACAATGTGTGATACACTCTGATATTTTTGGTTCTGTCCTATATAATTTAAAAAAAAAAAAAAAAAAAACCTGGTCACAACCAGTAAAACTGATTTCACAACATATAGTCTGAAACACACTGGTCTGAGTTTTTAGAAGCTGCAAAATTTCAACTACTACTGAACAGGATAATAATGTTCAAGTGAAAGTTTTCAATTAAATAGAAAACACAGAGCTTAGAGTTTATTAAGATTCTACTTTGTCTTTGTTCTCTATTAGTTATATATTGTTAGATTTACCTATGCTTACTCTGGTTTCATTGCTGAAGGTAGAAGTGTTCAATTGGGCCTAGTCCAGTGTTGTTATAGAATAAGATTATTCAGCAGTTGAGGTAGAGATTTCCACCTTGCAAGGCAAGAGTTTTTTAACCACTTTATGTGTGTATATATTTCTTAGGAAAGAAATATACATGGATATGTGGATTTAAAAGTCATCAGTGGCCTGGGCGCGGTGGCTCAAGCCTGTAATCCCAGCACTTTGGGAGGCCGAGGCGGGTGGATCACGAGGTCGAGAGATCGAGACCATCCTGGTCAACATGGTGAAACCCCGTCTCTACTAAAGATACAAAAAATTAGCTGGGCATGGTGGCACGTGCCTGTAATCCCAGCTACTCAGGAGGCTGAGGCAGGAGAATCGCCTGAACCCAGGAGGCGGAGGTTGCGGTGAGCCGAGATCCCGCCATTACACTCCAGCCTGGGTAACAAGAGTGAAACTCCATCTCAAAAAAAAAAAAAAAAAAGAAAAAAAAAAGTCATCAGTATCATTCTTATAGAGGAGCTTGAAAAAAAAGTTTTTCGTTTTTCGGTTTTTTTTTTGAGACAATCTTGCAGTGTCACCCAGACTACACTGCAGTGACACAGTCAAGGCTCACTGCAACCTTGACTTCCAGAGCTTAAGAGATCGTCCCACCTCAGCCCCCCAACTAGCAGGGACCACAGAAAATTGTTTATTAGGAAGTCTTTAAGCATTTTTACAAAGTAGGAAGAACAGTATAATGAATCCCCATTACCTAAATTCAACTTCAGTAGTATTGACTTACGTCAATTCCAAATGAATTTTTAATAAAAAATTTTTAAGGGACATGTAATTCCCTCCCTTAGTTTATAGATAGGTGATCTGTTTTTCAGAAGAGATATATCGGTCTTATTGTACCTAGCTTTAAATCCTCACAACCTGTTCGTTTCATCTGATCCCCAAAGAGAAGTAAATAATTACATAACATGAGGAAGCAGGGATGACATGAAATCTTCGACCTCATTTAGATTTTCCTGATGGCCTCCTAGAGCACTAGACCCTTGATATCTTACCTGAAATATTTCAACAGCCTCTTTTACCATATCCCAACCACCCACTCCTTACCACCTGCTTTACTGCCATTACACTGATTTTTAATAATGACTTGAAGGGAAGAGAATCTCATTATGTTTATCCTATGTTTAAAACTTCCTTGAGGCCAGGCATGATGGTTCACACCTGGAATCCCACACTTTGGGAGGCCGACAGGGGGATCATTTGAGACCAGCAAGACATCACAGCAAGACATCATTTCTACAAAAAGCTTAAAAAATTAACCGGGCATTGCAGTACACACCTGTAGTCTTAGCTGCTCGAGACACTGAGGCAGGAGGATCACTTGAGCCCAGGAGTTCAAGGTTGTAGTGAGGTAGTAGCTATGTATTAATGCCACTGTACTCCAGCTTGGGCAGCAGAACAAGACGCTGTCTCTTAAACAAACCTTCCCTTGTTCTTCCTTCCCTACCTATAAAATAAAACTCCAAATCATAGATTTTCATTCATAATCTAGTTCCAGCCTATCTTTCTAGCTTGCTCTTATACTGTCTCTTCTCTACCATTTTAAGCTTCCTGGTATTCCTAGAAAACATAACGTATTTTAGGGCTTGTTCTTATTTTACAAGATCCCATTTAGATATCAGCTTGTGGATGAGGTCATTTTAACTACCCTAGAAAAAAGTCTTTTCTAAGTTTGTTTTTATTTATTTTTTTGTTGTATGTGTGTTTGTGTATGTGTGTGATGCCACTTAACAGAGTTATACTTAGTTAGCAGTTTAAGTTTACTGCCCTCTTCACTCTCAATTAGACAGTGATCACTTCAAGAGCAGGAATTATAGTTTATTCTTGTCTCATAAACACTTCTTTGGTGCCTGCATGTAGTAGGCATTCAATAATGGTGTGAATGTGTTCATACTTCTAAAATTTTATAACCTAATTCTAAAACAGGTTCTCTCCAGACAAGGAAGAGTTAGTTAATCAGAGTTTGGTTTTGTATATTTTTAGTTTTTTTCTCCCCTCCTTGAGGACTTTCGTTAAAATTTCTAAAGAGAGCCTAAGTTCTATAGTTTTTTTCCTTAGGGGAAAATATACTTTGGTAAACTAGCATAGTATATCCATCTTCAGTAATCCTGTAGTAAAGGTAAGTGAAATCTACTTTCAGTATAATTTTTTTCTGTTGAACAATATTGTTTTATTTTGTGAGTTTGAGTAGATTTATGCTATATAGCTTATAGTAGCCTTGACTAATTTTTGATATATTTCAGCTCATGGAATGCTGTGTAAATGCCCTGGTGACATCATTTAAAGAGACTATCTTAGCTGAGTGCCAAGGCATGATCAAGCGAAATGAAACTGAAAGTAGGTAAAACATCACATAAAGTTTTCATAATCTTCTAAGAGGGTATCTTTGAAACAAATCACTTAGTAAGTTGCTCTGAGATTATTCTTTTCCACATAGGTATATCTGTTAGAGTGAACTATGCTTAAGGAAAATGATAAAATATTTAATACAGAGGCACTGCGAAAGAGTATATAAACTTAAATTTAAAGCATATTCCCCTTAAGCTGTCAAAATCTGTGTATGTGTATGGTGAATTTCCACTTTTTTTCTCAAAAACAGGACATTGCTTTTAAAGGCCAATTTGAACTGTAAACTGTTTATGGATTAGAACCAGGTATTTGACTTTTGTGTGGAACCTTATGGTGACTCTTTTTAGAAAGTAATAAAACACTCCATGTTCCTGGTCTTCATCGCTATCCCCAAAAATACTTTATAAGATTTCTAAAGGATATTTTTTAATTACTTCAATGTTTTCTTAAAAGGGTATGTTTTGAGAGATAGCAAATATATAAAAAAACTGAAAAAAAAATTCACATATACCTACTACCCCAATAAAACTGCTTTTAACTTTTTTTTTTTTTTTCATTTTTAAAAAAATCACCTTACTTCTGAGTTTCCAGATTTTATCACATGTAACTGCAAGGTCCTATTTAATTGCTAGTTGCATTTAAAGTACGTATTTCAATTCACTTAAGTTCATATACTTTTTAGGAGTAATTCGGTAGTAAAAAGCAAGCTGCTTTGTTGGCATAAACAAAATACTTGTATTCTGTGTGCCAGTCTGATTATAGTTAACTCTCTGATCCATGTTGTACTATCTTTAAAAATATTTATTTAATGGTAATCAGTACCCATGAGGTAGGGTTTTTGTGAAGGCCAGTAAAGTGGCGTAACATAAAAAAGTGCTTTGTAAATTTTTATGAATACGGTTTTATATTATATTCTCTAATACAGTTGATTTTTTGATTACTACTCATTTTTGATGTGGCTGTATATTTTGCAGTCACCTTATGAAATATACTAATCTTGTGTGTAAATAAGTATTTATTTGCATTGAAAGTCAAATGACTCATTTTTCCTTTTGAGGCAGGGTCTTCTTGTGTTGCCCAAGCTGGAATGTGGTGGCGCGATCAGAACTCACTGTAGCCTTGACCTCCTGGGCTCAAGCGATCCTCCTACTTCCCAGCCTCCTGAGTGTCTGGGACTACAGCTGTGCACCACCATGCCTGGCTAATTTTTGCGTTTTTTGTAGAGGCAGAGCCTCACCATGTTGCCTAGGCTGGTTTCCACTGTGTCTGGCCAAATGAATGACCTTTTAAAGAAAGGAGTGAGGTTTTAGAGTATTTGATCACTTTTTTAAATTTTTTATTTTTTGAGACAGTCTTGCCCTGTCACTAAGGCTGAGTGCAATGGTGCAATCACGACTCACTGCAGCCTTAACTTCCTGGGCTCAAGCAATCCTCACACTTTAGCGTCCCAAGTATCTGGGACCAAAGACATGCACCACCACACCCAGCTAAGTTTTTTTTTTGTTTTGTTTTGTTTTTAACGGTAGAGATGAGCTTTGCCATGTTGCCCTGCTTGGTCTCTTTAACTCCTGGGCTCAAATGATCCTCCCACTTTGGCTTCCCAAAGTGCTGGAATTACAAGCATGAGCCACCACACCCAGCCTGATCACTTTTAATTAGATTTTTTTTAACATAATTTTTGGACCAAGTTTAGTGGCTCAACCTGTGATCCCAGCACTTTGAGAGACCAAGATGGGAGGATTGATTGAGCCCCAAAGTTTGAGACCAGCTTTGGCAACATTGGGAGACCCTGTCTCTACAAAGTTACAGAAAACATTAGGTATGGTGACATATGCTTGTGGTCCCAACTACTCAGGAGGATGATGTGGGAGGATTGCATGCGCCCAAGAGGTCAGGGCTGCAGTGAAACATGATCATGCCACTGTACTCCAGCTTGGGTGACAAAGTGGGACCCTATCTCAAAAACAAAAACAAAACCCCCCAACTACTCCAAAATCACATTGTATCCACAGAGTACTATTAACATTACAAACTTTTAATTAATATTTCTCTAAAGTCTTATTCTAGTAAATGAAATGATTACATGAATATGTTCTGTCCTTCCAGAGTTACATTTAATGTTTTCATTGATGGACAAAGTTCCTAATGGTATAGAGCCAATGTTGAAAGACTTGGAGGAGCATATCATTAGTGCTGGCCTGGCAGATATGGTAGCAGCTGCTGAAACTATTACTACTGTAAGTTTTTTTCAATGGCAATGATAGATATATATCGAGGCTATTTTTTAAATGCAGAATTGAATGGTGAGTGGTTACAGAGGCTGAGGGTAGAGGGACCAGAAGAGGTTGGTTAATGGGTATAAAGTTATAGTTCAATAGGAAGAATAAATTTTGGTGTTCTCTTACCCCTTAGAGGGGCTATAGCAGTAGCATTGTAGTGTATATTTCAAGATAACTGGAAGAGATTTTTTTATGTTGTTACCACAAAGAAATTAATAAGTGAAGTAATGGATATAGTAGTTACCCCAATTTGATCATTATACTGTATATACATACATTGAAATATAACATTGTACCTCATAATATGTATAGTTATGTATTAATTACAAACATTAAATTGTTTTAAATGCAGAATTGGAAATAGTAATTGAAATGGCAAAACAGTAATATTGGAACACCTTTTAATTTTGTTTTTAAGAAAAAAATGTCCCCAGTTTTAAATGAATCTTATTAAAATTATGTTTATAGTTTCTCATTTTTTGTGTGTTATTTATTCTTTTCCTTTTAAAAACTCAAATATAAAACCTTTTGTTTCTAGGACTCTGAGAAATATGTTGAGCAGTTACTTACACTATTTAATAGATTCAGTAAACTCGTCAAAGAAGCTTTTCAAGACGATCCACGATTTCTTACTGCAAGAGATAAGGTACATGTTCCTATGTATATAAAAAGCACTGCTTTGAAAGTTGTACGCTGATAATTTACTTTAGTAATCAATTTGCATCATTTTACTATTATAAACTTAAAAACCTAGCAACTATTACTTTTCATCAGTGGAAGGCAACTATATTTGTTTTGTTTTGTTTGTAAGCATTGTAAGCATTCTTTAAGCATTAGGTAGCCTTATGAATTAGAATTTAGTTAGTTGCTTTTTTCTCATTTTTTTTTTTTTTTGAGACGGAGTTTTTGCTCTCGTTACCCAGGCTGGAGTGCAATGGCGCAATCTCTGCTCACCGCAACCTCCGCCTCCTGGGTTCAGGCAATTCTCCTGCCTCAGCCTCCTGAGTAGCTGGGATTACAGGCACGCGCCACCATGCCCACCTAATTTTTTGTATTTTTAGTAGAGACGGGGTTTCACCATGTTGACCAGGATGGTCTCGATCTCTCGACCTCGTGATCCACCTGCCTCGGCCTCCCAAAGTGCTGGGATTACAGGCTTGAGCCACCGCGCCCGGCCAACTTTTTTCTCATTTTTCCAAGAATGTTTTTCTGTTTTCGAATATTATTGATCTATTGAATTCTTGTTCATCCTTTCATTCAGACCCAGCTCAAAGAATACTTTCCCTGGAAATTCTTGATATCCTGCTCCCTCCACAGCTCCTCCCAAGCAGAGTTGATTCCTCCATCCTCTGTCCTTTCATGGGGTTCCTTTGAGATTTTGTTATACTCATCCTTGTTTTCCAGGAAGCATTTGTATTGCATACCCTCTTTTTCCATCCTTACTAGAATATGGTAATGATAATGAAACACGATGCTGTCCTTAGCGTTGATCTTTTTTAATGTAATAAACCTGTAATAAGAAATTGCTGTTAGTTTTTTCTCTTCTTTGACTACTTTTCATTACTTCCTAAGTTCGAATGATTCTAAAAAGATAACTTTGTCCAGTAGGATTTTTTTCTCACTCTTTTTTTCTATTTTAATTTCTTTTCTTTTGTTTTTTTTGAGATGAGGTTTCGCTCTTGTTGCCTAGGCTGGAGTGCAGTGGTGTAATCTCAGCTCACTGCAACCTCCCCTTCTTGGGTTCAAGCACTTCTGCCTCAACCTCCCAAGTAGCTGAGATTACAGGCGTCCACCACCACGCCCAGCTAATTTGTATTTTTAGTAGAGATGGGGTTTCACTGTGTTGGCCGGGGTGGTCTTGAACTCCTGACTTGGCCTCCCAAAGTGAGGGGATTACAGGTGTGAGCCACTACACCTGGCCTCTTTTTGTCTATTTCAGAACAAATAAGTACATAAAGTAGCAAAGGAGTTTAAGGGAGTATAGACATGGTAGGGTGGTGTGAAATCTTAAGTTGAGTAGCCTGCAAAGGCTTCATAGGAAGCCAGATCATGTAAGACTCTGAGCCATGGTAAGGAGTTAGTTTTTACTGTGAGTAGGATGGGAAGTCATTTAAAAATTTTAAACAGAATGGTAGGATGTGATTTATGTACTAACAGGATCGCTCTGGCTGTTGCAAAAAAAAATAGACTGAAGGGAAGAAAGAAGGAAGAATACCATTTAAGAACTTATTTGACATGAGCCACTACCCTGATAGTGGCTCTCTCTTTAAATCATGTTCTTTGCAAACTCTTCACCTGCCCTGATGCTTTCTCAGTTCCGTCATCTCACTGGTAAAGGAAATAAACATATCCATCTTCTCACATAGTTACCCATTTTCTTGTTTTGTTTTGTTTTGTTGTTGTAGCAAGAGCACCCAAAGTCTACTTATTTAGCATGATTCCAGTATAGAATATAATTTTGTTTTATTTATTTATTTTGAGACAGGGTCTTGCTCTGTCATCCCAGGCCAGAGTGAGTGCCGTGGCACAACCTGGTTCATTGGAGCTTCAACCTGCCTGAGCTCAGGTGATGCTCCCACCTCAGCCTCCTGAGTAGTAGCCAGTACTACAGGCACTCACCACCACGTTTGGCTAATTTGTAATTTTTTTGGTGGAGATGAGTTCTTACTATGTTGCCTCGGCTGATCTTGAACTCCTGGGCTTAAGCGATCCATCCACCACAGCCTCCCAAAGTGCCGGGATTACAGGCGTAAGCCTCTACACTCAGCCCAGTATAATTTCACTACCTGTAGTTCTCATGCTGTCCTTTAGCTCTCTAGACTTTCATCCTGAGTATCTGCTACTTTGTATCATTTGACCTACGTCTCCGGTCTCCGTTTTTCTTTTCTGCCTGTTTTGCCACTGGTTACTACTCTTTTGTTCCTCTCTCTGTATATTTGAATTTTTTTTAAGATTCCACATGTAAGTGAGATCATGCAATATTTTTCTTTCTGTGTCTGGCTTATTTCACTTAGCATAAGGTCTTCCAGTCTTCCGTAGTATATATGTACCAGTTTCTTTATCCATTGATGGACACTGAAGTTGTGTCCATATTTTGGCTACTCTGAATAAGGCTGCAGTGAATGTGGTAGTGCAGTTATCTTTATGAAATAGTAATTTAATTTCCTTTGGGTATATGCCTAGAAGAGGGATTGCTTAGATTATGATTATATTATGAAGATAGACTATTCAGGATTTGCTGTTGAATCAGATGTAGAATGTGATAGAGACTAGTCAGGGATGACACTCAGATTTGTGTTCTGATCAGTTAAAAGGATATGTTTGCTGCGATAGGGAAGATTAAGAGAAACTGGTTTTGGAGAGATGGTTGCAGAGAGATCAGAAACTCAGTTTTGAATAAGTTAACTTTGAAATATCTGTTAAACATCCATATGGTAATAAGTGAAGACAGAAAAGAGGACAGATCCAAGGATTGGCCTAGGGCATTCTGATATTTTATTGTTAGAAAAGTGAAGAGTCATCTTTCACGAAAGGGAAAGAATGACCAGGAGAATGTTAGGTGCTAAAAGACAAGTGAGAAAAGTGTTTTCAGGAGGAGGGTGTGATCTGCTGTTTAAAATGCTGATGATAAATAAGATGGAGATTAACCCTTATCTTCAGTAATATGGAAGTTACCGGTGACTTTAACAAGAACAGTTGTGTAGGCTGGGCACAGTGGCTGACACCTGTAATCCAGCACTTTGGGAGGCTGAGATGGGTGGATCACTTGGGGTCGGGGATCGAGACCAGCCTAGCCAACATGATGAAACCCTGTCTCTACTAAAAATACAAAAATTAGCCAGGCACAGTGGTGCACACCTGTAGTTCCAGCTACTCAGGAGGCTGAGGCAGGAGAATCGCTTGCACCCAGGAGGCCAAAGTTGCAACGAGCTGAGCCAGCTTGTGTGACAGAGCGAGACCCTGTCTCAAAAAAAAAAAGAAAACAACAAAAAAAGACCTCACTTGAGGCTGGGCATGTGGGCTCATGCTTGTAATGGCAGAACTCTGGGAGGCCAAGGCAGGCAAATCACCTGACATCAGGAGTTTGAGAGTAGCCTGGCCAACATGGTGAAACCTTCTTTCTACTAAAAATACAAAAGTTAGCCAGGCGTGGTGGCAGGCACCTGTAATCCCAGCTACTTGAGAGGCTGAGGCAAGAGAATCGCTCAAACCTGGGAGGTGGAGGTTGCAGTGAGCCAAAATCACGCCACTGCACTGCAGCCTGGGTGACAGAGTAAGACTTCATCTCAAAAAAAAAAAAAAAGAAAAGAAAACCTCACGAGAATATTGATAATTATAATATGACAAAGAACATGCTCAAGTCTTTGACTAGGCGGATTCTGTCTGGCCAGATATACTATTAGAAATAAAAACTGGCATATTTTTCTGTGTTTTAGGGTGTATAAAACTTTGTATGTTTTAAATATTAAAAATAATGATTTTATTACAAATTATTTTTTGCAGGCATATAAAGCAGTTGTTAATGATGCTACCATATTTAAACTTGAATTACCTTTGAAGCAGAAGGGGTAAGTTTTAAAAAACCATATTTTAAAATAAATTTTTTTGTGTGTAATGCGGGTTAACTACATGTACAAGGTACCCTGTTAGGTTTGGTTTTGTTGTTAGTTTAGTGACTTTTGCTGCTTTTGGCTATTAAAGTCCATTTATAATTTTTTATTATTTTACAATTTAAAAATTATTTTTTCAAGTAGAAAAAAATATTTTATTCCTAATCTTTTAGGACCTCTACTTGATTGTTTTTCCCTCATTAGTGACTAATAGTATTCTATTACTTAAAGAAGCATAGAAAATGACTCAGTTTACCATAGTGATATGAAAAGAACTGTTTTAATGTAAATTTTGCTATTACAATTTTTTAAAAATTGTTCTATAATTGGTAAAATGAATATGCCAGTGCTAAGCATAGCTTATGGAAAATCTGACAACTGAAATTTGTGAAGTAAATCTGAGCTAGTTATAGCACTTTGAGAGTAGTACTAAACAGCAGTAAAAGTTAATTGAAAAAAAATCTTTCGATGTACTTGTAGCTAAGAATTACCATTTTAAAGAAATTTTATATATAATGTTAAAATACTTGAAAAATACTGAAAAATAGCATTTCTTAAGGAAAAGCAATCAAGTATTTTTCATTTAGTGTTTTCATTTTGTCTTTTTTGAGTATACGTTGCTTGAGTAATACGATGGTGGAAGACATTCTGAGTCATACCGTATTATACTGACATGTTTTAGAAAGGCATATATTATGTTCTGTTTTATAAACTGTGAAATTTGTGAAACATAGAGCACTACATCTTGGCCATCTCTTCGCATGAGTAGATAGAGATCTTTTTCATTCTCTTTCACCCAAGTTTGCTAGCTTGCTTGCTTGCTTGCTTATTTATTTATTTATGACAGGGTCTTACTCTGTCACCCAGGCTGGACTGCAGTGGTGCGATCTCAGCTCACTGCATCCTCCACTTCCCAGATTCAAGCAATTCTCCTGCCTCAGCCTCCCGACTAGCTGATATTACAGGCACATGCCACCGTGCCCAGCTAATTTTTTTGTATTTTTAGTGGAGACAGGGTTTTGGCCAGGCTGGTCTCCAACTCTTGACTTCAAGTGATCCGCCTGCCTTGGCCTCCCAGAGTGCTGGGATTATAGGTGTAAGCCACTGCACCCAGTCCCGAGCATATTTTTTTTTATGAAAATGTTCAGATTTACAACAGAGTTACTATAATTGCTTTATCAAATATGTATCTATTTACATCCATCAGTCAACTTTTCAAGTGCATTTCTAAAGAGATTGCAGACATCAGTAACCTTTAGTCCCTAAACACTTCAGCATGCATTCATTGAATTTGATGTTTATATTTTTAGGTAAATTTTACATATAGTTCCCATACATAAATCTTAAGTGTACATTTGAGTCAGATTTGACAAATGCTTTTACCCCATTAACATGTATGCTGTCTTTAACATTCTAGAGAGTTACCTCATGTCTGTTCACAGTCAGTCCCACCCACATCCTTCCAGAGGCATCTGCTGTCCTGATTATTTCCCCCAATATAGATTAGTTTTGCCTAATCTAGCACTTGTATAAATGGGATCATACACTATGTATTTTTTGTGTAAAGTTTCTTTCATTCAGCATTTTGTCTTTGAATTCTTATATGTTTTGGCATGTAACAATAGTTTGCTTTCCAAAGTGGTTACTCTGTTTTACACTTGAACCAACAGAGTATGAGAGTACCAGTTGATCTTCACTCTCACCAGTGTTTAGTGTTCTTTTAATTTTAGTCATTTGGGATATATGTAGTAGTATCTTAACGTTTTAATTTTCCATCTGCCTCATGACTCCTGATGTTGAGAAATTTTTCATCTTTTTTTTTTTTTTTGCCATTCTTTTATTTTCCTTTATGAAGGGTGATCATAGCTCACTGCAGCCTCCATCTCCTGGGCTTAAGCAGTCATCCTGGTTCAGCCTGCTGAGTAGCTGGGACTACAGGCACACAACACTGTACTTGAGACTAATTTCTTTTAGAGATGAGGTCTTGCTATGGTGCTGAGGCTGGTCTCAAACTCCTGTCCTCAAAAGATCCTCCTGCCTCAGCCTCTCACAGTGTTGAGATTACAGACATGAGCTACCATGCCCAACCCTTTTGCCCATTTTTAATTGGATTCTTTGTCTTTGTTGTTGAGTTGTAAGAGTTCTTTATATATTCTTGTACTAAATCCATATCAAATATATGATTTGCCAGTATTTTCTCCCATTCTTTAAGTTATCTTTTCATTTTCTTGATCTATCCTTTGATGCACAAAAGCTTTTAATTTTGATTAAGTTCAATTTACCTATATTTTTCTTTATTTGCTTTTGCTTTTGGTTTCATATTTAAATCAGAAAGATTTATTGTTATGTTTTCTTTTAAGAGTTTTATAGGGCCAGACACGGTGGCTCACACCTGTAATCCCAGCACTTTGGGATACCAAAGCACATGGATCACTTGAGGTCAGGAGTTCAAGACCAGTCTGGCCAACATGGTGAAATCCCGTCTCTACTAAAAATGAAAAGAAATAGCCAAGCATGGTGATGCATGCCTGTAATCCCAGCTACTTGGGAGGCTGAGACAGGAGAATCATTGGAACCCGGGAGGTGAAGGTTGCAGTGAGCCAGGATCGTACCATTGCACTCCAGCCTGGGTGACATAGTGAGACTTGGTCCCAACAACAACAAAAAAAGACTTTTATAGTTTTGGCTTTTATATTTAAGTCATTGATCCATTTTGAGTTAGTTTTTATATATGGTGTGAGATAGAGGTCCAATTTCATGTTTTTGCATGTGGATATCCAGCACTCATTGAACAGTCTTTGCTTCGTTATCAAAAATCAGTTGGCCATGGATGTATGTGTTTATTTTTTAATGCTTAGGTGAATTCCATTGGTCTGTATATTTGTCTGTATGCTGGTAACCACATTGTTGTGATTTACTGCAGCCTTTTGATAAGCTTTAAAAGCAAGACGTGTGCATGTTTCGACTTTGTTTTTTTTCAAGGTCATTTGGCTATTTGAGTTCCCTTCTAATTCCATATTAATTTGAGAATCAGCTTTTCCATTTCTATGAAAAAGACCTTTGAAATTTTGATAGGAAATGCATTGAAGGTATTAATGTTATGTCTCCCAATTATGAAAATGGAATTTCTTTTCAATTGATTTTTGGATTTCTTTCAACAATGTTTTGCAGCTTTCAGTGTACAAGTCTTCCACTTTCTTCGTTAAATTTATACTTTGGCATTTTCTTCTTTTTTTTTTTTTTTTTTGAGATGGAGTTTTGCTCTTGTTACCCAGGCTGGAGTGCAATGGCGCAATCTCGGCTCACCGCAACCTCCGCCTCCTGGGTTCAGGCAATTCTCCTGCCTCAGCCTCCTGAGTAGCTGGAATTACAGGCACGTGCCACCATGCCCAGCTGATTTTTTGTATTTTTAGTAGAGACGGGGTTTCACCATGTTGACCAGGATGGTCTCGATCTCTCGACCTCGTGATCCACCCGCCTTGGCCTCCCAAAGTGCTGGGATTACAGGCTTGAGCCACCGCGCCTGGCCTACTTTGGCATTTTTCTTTGGATGCTATTGTAAATGGAATTGCTTTCTTTTCCTCCTCTCCTTTCCTCTCCTCTCTTTCTTCTTCTTTCTTCTTTTTTGAAGATAAGGTCTACTGTGCCTCTGAGGCTAGAGTGCAGTGGCACAATCATGGCTCACTGCAGTCTTGCCCCCTTGGGCTCAAGTGATGCTCCCACCTCAGCCTCCTGAGTAGCTAATTAGGTTCAGGCTACCACACCTGGCTAATTATTTTTTGTAGAGACAGTTTCTCACTATGTTGCCCAGGCTGGTCGTGAACTCCTGGACTCAAATGGTTCTCCCACCTTAGCCTCTCAAAGTGCTAGGATTACAGGCAGGAGCCACCGTGCCCAGCCTGGAATTATTTTCTTAATTTCCTTCTGGATTGTTCATTACAGGCGTATAAAAATACAAATCTTTTTTTTTTTTTTTCTCTCATACAGGGTTTCTCTCTGTCACCTAGGCTGGAGTGCAATGGCATGATCACGGCTCACTGCAGCCTTCACCTCCTGGGCTCAAGCAATCCTCCTTACTCCACCTTCTGAGTAGCTGTGACTACAGGCCCATACCACCATGCCTGGCTAATTTTTTTTTTTTTGAGACAGGGTCTTGCTATGTTGCCAAGCCTGATCTTGAATCCCTGTGCTCAAGTGAGCCTCCTGCCTCTGCCTCTCAAAGTGCTAGAATTACAGGCATGAACTACCGTGCCCAACCACACATAATTTTTATGTGTTGATTTTGTACTTTGCGGCTTTCCTAAATTGATATATTAGCTCAGAAAGCTTTTTTGTAGATTCTTTCAGCTTTTCTGTATATAAGGTCATGACATCTGCAAATAGAAATACTTTAACTTCGGCTAGGCGCAGTGGCTCAAGCCTGTAATCCCAGCACTTTGGGAGGCCGAGGCGGGTGGATCACGAGGTCAAGAGATCGAGACCATCCTGGTCCACATGGTAAAACCCCGTCTCTACTAAAAATACAAAAAATTAGCTGGGCATGGTGGTGCGTGCCTGTAATCCCAGCTACTCAGGAGACTGAGGCAGGAGAATTGCCTGAACCCAGGAGGCGGAGGTTGCGGTGATCCGAGATCGCGCCATTGCACTCCAGCCTGGGCAACAAGAGCGAAACTCCGTCTCAAAAAAAAAAAAAAAAGAAAAGAAAAAAGAAATACTTTAACTTCTTCGTTTCCAATTTGGATCTGTTTTCTTTCTTTGCTCTGCCTAATTGCTCTGACTGGAACGTCTACTACAGTAACAACGGCAGGAGAAAATTCAGGCATCCTTGTCTTATTCCTGATTTTAGGGCATTTGGTCTCAGTCTTTTGTCATTATATTGTTTTATGTTGGTTTTTCATAACCTCATTATGCTGAATAGCAGCATGGCATTCTGTCTGGTAGATGTACTATAGCTTATT